ATAAATATCTCCTGATTTTTTTTTTATTTTCAAAGGAAAAAACTGACCCAAAAAAGTAAAATACAAAAAAATCATTTTTTTTTAATTTAGCTGTGTGTTTCTTGTTACTTCCATAACCTACTACCAAAATACAACCCAAAATAAATTTCCAGCTCTTGACGATAGCAGCGATACCATATATGTGCATGTTATTTGTTGTTTGTACCCGTAGTACAGCCCAGAAACAATAGTGCGCATTTTGGGGGTTTTACCTAAAACACACAGACACTAACTGACACTGATATCAATTTTTTTAAAATCCTGACCTTTTGACCTTGACCTTTGATCCTCACCTTGACCCAAACACTTACCCTGGCACTGAACTAGATCAAACCTTGATCTAGATATTTTTTCTTTATTTTTTATTTTATTTTTTAATATGTATGTATTTATTTATTTTTTTACAAACCTTTTTTTCCCTCTATGCCAGGAGTTAGAGAGATACAGTGTATCTCTACCCTCCATTCATAGAGTGAAAAAAAACCCAAGGGGGCCGGGCTTACAGTGAATGATCACTGTCATAGCCAACCAGAGGCTATCACAGCGATCATGTGACCTGGAATCGGGGGTTCCGATCGTTAGAATGGGACTTGGGGCTCTCAGTGACACCCCGGTCCATGTGTCGCACAGCACGCTCTCAGCAGAAAGACAGGTACACAAATATGCTGCCCCACAGAAAAAAGCCCAGTTCTGCGAGGCCGCATATTTGTGTGACGTCAGCGCGAAGGGGTTAAGCTCAGAAATAAATGTGTCCCTATAGTTACAGGAAACTATGTATTTTGTTTCTTTTTTTACATTTTAAGAGGACACCTATTTTTAGCTATATGTAGCGCTACCCTTGTGTGTGTCTAGGTACCCCTAAACTCTGCACAGCCAGGCAACACGCATTTTCCACTCTTGCATCCACAGTCAGTGAACAGTCCTTGAACTTGATTTTTGTTATTTTATTAGGGGAAATAACTTGGATAGGGTAAAAGGGATTATGGGATGCCCAACTTAATTGGATCAAAGCATGGGGACAACTTCCCTCCTATTTACATAAACAGATCCTGGACTGTTCTATTCCTTGAAAGCCATCAGTCATTGCAGATCAGTAGCAACAGCCCCTTACAGGTGAGGGACACGCAGCCCCTCTGAAAAATCAGCTCAACTTGTCAGTTACATGCAGAGATGTCTCCTCTCTCCTGTAGAGCTGCTCCCAGCTCAGCAGCCTACAGACACTACCAGCCCTCCTGGCTGCTCTGAAGATCTCCCAGGATGAGGATAAAGGATTAAGCACTGTGCTGTCCTTTGAAAGCTTGTCTCCCACCTTGTGAATTTCAGGGTGTGATGTACTCACTGTGTCTTCCTTGCTCCCTCTGCTTCCAGGCATTGACCCTGTTCATACCATGATGCTGAATGGATTCTCCTGAGCCCAGCCTGGAGGCCAGCTCCCCTAGACCTAGGGAACCTCTCCCAGGCCACCAACACTCTCCATAGCACTCCATCTTCCACCCCACTCCCAGCTGGCCTGACTATCCCATATTCATGTGCTGGTCCACCACTCTGCCAGGGCCTCCAGACCTGGGATTGGTTAGACGCCCATAAACATGCAGATTAGGTCTCCACCTCTTCTACCTACTAGCTCAGGGGTCTGCAACCTTTAAGACATAAAGAGCCACTTGGACCCGTTTCCGAAGGGAAAAAAAAGACTGGGAGCCGCAAAACCATTGCAACATTTATAACAAATCCGACACTGCATATATTGCAAAAAGCACTCTGGTCATGAAGGGGGTTTAAGGGCCCAGTAAGCAAAGGGTTAATCAGGGCCACAGTGTATCTTCATAATCACAATCATAGCCTTAGGTCAGTGGTGGGCAACCTTTTTTTTCAACTGAGCCAAATCTCGCCAAAACCACGATTGAAATTTATTTTGACAGCCACATTTTTAAAACTGAAAATACATCCCCCATATAGTAATTCATCCCCCATAGTAATTCATCCCCCATATAGTAATTCATCCCCCATAGTAATTCATCCCCCATATAGTAATTCATCCCCCATAGTAATTCGTCCCCCATATAGTAATTCATCCCCCATAGTAATTCATCCCCCACATAGTAATTCATCCCCCATAGTAATTCATCCCCCACATAGTAATTCATCCCCCATAGTAATTCATCCCCCATAGTAATTCATCCCCCATATAGTAATTCATCCCCCATATAGTAATTCTTCCCCCATAGTAATTCATCCCCCATAGTAATTCATCCCCCATATAGTAATTCATCCCCCTATAGTAATTCTTCCCCCATAGTAATTCATCCCCCATATAGTAATTCATCCCCCATAGTAATTCATCCCCCATATAGTAATTCATCCCCCACATAGTAATTCATCCCCCACATAGTAATTCATCCCCCATAGTAATTCATCCCCCATATAGTAATTCATCCCCCATAGTAATTCATCCCCCATATAGTAATTCATCCCCCATATAGTAATTCTTCCCCCATAGTAATTCATCCCCCATATAGTAATTCTTCCCCCATAGTAATTCATCCCCCATATAGTAATTCTTCCCCCATAGTAATTCATCCCCCATAGTAATTCTTCCCCCATAGTAATTCATCCCCCACATAGTAATTCATCCCCCATATAGTAATTCATCCCCCATAGTAATTCATCCCCCATATAGTAATTCATCCCCCATATAGTAATTCATCCCCCATAGTAATTCATCCCCCATATAGTAATTCATCCCCCATATAGTAATTCATCCCCCACATAGTAATTCATCCCCCATAGTAATTCATCCCCCATATAGTAATTCATCCCCCATAGTAATTCATCCCCCATAGTAATTCATCCCCCACATAGTAATTCATCCCCCATATTGTCTCAATTCACTTACCTTTGCTCCGCGTGTTCCTCTCGCTGTGTTCCCGCGCCGTTCTGGTCTTCAGGGCGGACTGAGAGAGGAGTTCGTCACTCTGCCCCGCCTACATCCTGGCTGCCCCACCTACATCCTGACGGCAAGTGTCTTCACTACCTTAAACCCTATGCGCATCACCTACGATTGTCCCCCAGCCAATGTTCCACGCTCCGCGGGCCGGATTTTTGAGGAGGGAGGGGAGCGGGTGCCTGGCACACAGAAGAGCCGCATGTGGCTCGCGATCTGCGGCTTGCCGACCACCTGGTGGGCAGTGTGCTCCGGAGCCGCAGCAAAGATGAAAAAGAGCCGCATGCGGCTCTGGAGCCGCGGGTTGCCGACACCCGTACTAGCTTAAGGAAGGTTCACTGTACACTGTTTTTATGAAGTAGGCCTTAAGTATGTATTACCTAATGAATTTTAAATTTGGTTTTAAAAAACAATTATGCCATTATTTATGCTATTTCTTTGAGCCTTCTTTAAAGAAGAACCCCATTCCAACACTTGGGGGCTACTTAGCAAACAGCAACTGTTGAAACAACAAACACTTTGGTAGAGAGTATGTACCATACAGCACAGCACACAGAGGACATGATTAAGTAACTTATTGCCCCTTATGTTTTAGGTTTTAGGTCAGCGTCATTGGTCAGCAGTGCAAAAAATGCCTCGCTATTAGCAATCAGTGGGAGATAAAATGCCCAACGTTATTGGTCAGTGAGATGAAGATGTTTTGTGTTACAGGTTGGTAGGAAGAAAAATGACTGGTTTTGGTCAGTGGGGCAAAAATACCCAGTATTGTTGGTTCGTGGGAGAAAAAAAAATGCGCAATAATCAGTGATAGGAAAAAGATGCCCCAGGATTAGTTGTGACTAAGAGGTGATCCAACATCAGAGGTAAAAAAAGGATGCTCTGGCATCAAGACCTTAGTTCAGCCCTCCTTAACATTTAGACCCCAGATCTTCTCCCCTTATTATTCAAACATCAGATTATTCCCCTTTTTAATATTCAGACTCCAGGCCATCTTCTGTTAAAGTGGTTGGAAACCCTTACATATACCCACTGATGTGACTGGCCTCAGGGGATACATAGATATAAAACAAATCCTCCTACATAAGTTGTACCTGTTTAGCTACATCTGTCTGTCCCCTACATCAGTTCAAAGTGCAGAATTTAAACAGAATCTCTCAGCTCTGAAAAGTAGGGGGTGGGGGGCGGAAGTTACATCAGTGAATAGAGCTCTGAGAGCTGATTGGAGGGAAGGGACATACCCTTTCACACAGCACACAGAAACAGAGCTGAGGCTGTCAATCTGTTGGAGGTCCCTCTCATGTCATCATTTTGCTCTTGGTGTCAAAAAAAGCTTATCAGAAGTGATTCATGCTGATAGCAGAGGCAGGAGGCAGCAGAAAAAATGACACTTAGTACCCTGGATTGAGACAAGTACACAATATAGAGGGGTGCTTTGTTCATATTACATGTCTGAGATTTACATTCACTTTAACCACTAGCCTACAGGGCACTTATACCCCCTTCCTGCCCAGGCCAATTTCCAGCTCTCAGCGCTGTCACACTTTGAATGACAATTGCGCGGTCATGCAACATTGTATCCATATGAAATTTTTATCATTTTTTTGAGACAGATAGAGCTTTCTTTTGGTGGTATTTAATCACCTCTGGGATTTTTATTTTTTCTTAAACAAACCAAAAACCACAGAAAATTTTGAAAAAAAAAAAACATTTTTTCTTAGTTTTTGTTATACCATTTTGTAAATAAGTGATTTTTCTCTTTCATTGATGTGCGCTAATGAGGCTGCAGTGATGGGCACTGATAGGCTGCACTGATGGACACTGATAGGTGGCACTGATGGACACTGATAGGTGGCACTGATGGGCACTGATGAGGAGGCACTGGTAGGTTGCACTGATGGGCATTGACAGGCATCACTGATGGGCACTGAATGGCAGCACTGATACATGACACTGATATATGGCACCGATAGGCGGCACTGATAGGCAGCACTGACTGGCACTGATAGGCAGCACTGACTGGCACTGATAGGTGGCACTGACTGGCACTGTTAGGCGGCACTGAGTGGAACCGATAGGCGGCACTGACTGGCACTGATAGGCGGCACTGACTGGCACTGATAGGCGACACTGACTGGCACTGATAGGTGGCACTGATTGGCAGCACTGATAGGTGGCACTGATGGGTGACATTGAAAGGCAGCTCAGATGGGCACTGATATGTGGCATTGATGTGCACTGGTATGTACTGATATGTGGCATTGATGTGGCAATGATGGGCACTGGCACGTGGCACTGATGGGCACTGATGAGCACTGACAGGTGGCACTTCTGGGGCCACACTGATCATCAGTGTCCTGATCAGTGTACATGTCCCCTCCGCAGAAAGCCGATTACCGGCTCTCCTCTCGAGCTCCTCTCAGCGTGACAGCTCGAGAGGAGAGGAATGCCAATAACCGGCATTTCCGTGTTTACATGTGATCAGCTGTGATTGGACACAGCTGATCACATGACCGAGCCAACATCTTCGGCTCTTTCCGTGATCCGCTATGTCCAAGGGACACAGCTGACCAGCGATCGCCGCGCTGCGTGCCCCCTGAGCCGCGCATGCGCAGTGAGAATGGTAGGAAATCATATGACGTCCTATCAGAACAAGAGAACCACCTTGCGCCCGTCATTGTACTATAGGGCGGGCAGAAGGTGGTTAAACTTGCCGCCTTCAGACCCCAGATCAGCTCCCATTAAAATTGCCCTTTTCAGACCCCAGTTAAGCTCCCTAATAAAACTGTTCTTGTTAGACCTCACATCCTATTAAAATTACCCTCTTCAGACCTCTGATCAACACCCATTAAAATTGCTCTCTTTAGACCTCACATTGGCCCCCATTAACCCCTTCGCATTCAGGACATATTAAAATTTGCATTTCCTGAGGATGCCCAGTGGCGAAACACGTCGGGGCGAGTGCTGTTGGCACTGACCTCACTTCCGATCTGTGGGACATGTAGACTAACGATGGTGAAGTGCATGCTGACTCTCTATTCAGCTGTACAGAGCAGTGGAGGCTTCTAATACAAGTATAGGCTGTTAGTATGTGCCAATATCTTTGGGGCTTCAACAAATGTGAGTAAAATTTTAGTTAAATAAAGTACTGTATGTGGTTTTATGGTTTTATGCGATGAGTCCCCCTATCTGATTCTTCTTATAAGGCTCCATGCACACTGGGCGCTTTGATAACGCTGGTAACATTAGCTGTGTAACAAACAAGAGATCCCTGTGCTCAATCCATACAGCTAGTACATCCATTTATCCATCAGGTGCTAAAGGGGTGTAACCACATATTAACACTAGAAATTCTAAAGAACCCTCTGCACACTGGTATATACCCTTTCCAGCAGACTATGCAATAAATAGGGATATTTGGTTCACACGTATTGCAATACATGCTTAAGCTGGCCAACTGCATCAAAGTAATCCCTCTATGGCCAGTCCTACTCTGCCCTGCCTACGCAAATGCTACTGTGGACACAATGCTAGCATAGGGGAAAAGACACAATGGGGAGAGCTACAAGGTTCAGGTCTGGCTACTGACCCAACAATACAACAAACAAGAGATCCCTGTGCTGTGTAAAGTCACGTAAAAAGTGTTTTTCTGCTTTTTTTTTTGCATTAGAGTTTAGTGGAGTTTTTCTGCAGTTTTTAGCTTTTTTTTTTTTCAGTTTTTAGCGTTCTTTTTTTTTTACAAAAGTCCTGGGTTTTTTTTCCAGCCAAAAAAACATCCCTGCCAAAACACTGATTACCATCTATGTGTGCATGGACACATAGGATAACATGTTGGGGAGTTTACTGGCTACAGAAAAAAACGTCAAAACCAAAAACAGCAGCTGAAAAACGTCCAGTGTGCATGAGGACTTATGAGCAGAGCTATTCTGGGTCTGGGAGAGAGAAGGAAAGGACATACTGCACCATAAATGCTCTTTTGACCAGTTCTTGTTTAACACAGGTCCATTCTTTTTGGTGAGTTTTAGGGCCAGTTCACACTACAAACATGCATTCCAGATGCATTCTGGATACATTTTTGCTTACACCACACTCAGTTCCGGTGCAGTTTTTATGCAGTTTGCCATGTTCCACTTTTTTTCTGTACCAGAAACTGACTGGAACTGACTACACTAGTGTGAACCAGGGCCATTTGAATACATGGAAAACACTGTGCATGCATTTTTATGCGGAAAGAGCGCACTGAACTGCATCTAGTGTGAACTAGCCCTTAGGCTGTCTAGAGGAGTGTGCACAATTGGTGTGGTGGAATTTGGTCACATATTGTGGAGTGGAGCAACTATAAGGATTGTTAGCGGAGCACAATTATGTTCCTTGTATTGAATTACCATTCAGATTACACTTATGGACATGTGATGTAATGGATACTGAGATGCACTTTATTGATTGCACAAAAAAATAATTTTATACACTTTATGTTATCTGATTATCGATAAGAACCATATTGCAAATGTTAATTGTAGCACTGCCACTTTTTATTTTAAGCAAAAATTAGCACTGCTTTTCATGTAGTTTTTATTCTATCAATGGTGACAGTGCCAAGCGACCTCCTGTGGTCAGTGTACAGGTAGAAGCTGTTTACACAGAACTCCCTGTAGCACTGACTATTACAGTTATATTTCAGCTTAAAGGAGAAGTATGGCTAAAGCTCTTTATTAACCATCGAGCATTGTGACGTCAAAGCCCCTTCCCTACGCGTTACGCCACCGAGTCACGTGGCTTCATCAGGGTGAAATCATTTTGCACTGATGAAGCAATGTAACCCGGTGGCGTAACGCGTAGGGGAGAGGCTTTGACGTCATGATGCTCAATGGTTTTGTACTGACACCAGCTGGCTCTACAAAGGATATCATCACTGCTAACATACAGGAGGCAATTTCTTGCACACAGCGCTTTTTGTACATTGATCATGTGAGTGTACTACTTTATATTAATAAATGAGTGTTTAAGGATAAAGCACTATGATCTGGTTATTCTCTTAACCGAGAAGAGCCATTAGATGAGCGAAAGGGATCTCATTCAGCAGGATACCATCCCATCCACATTTGGCCCAATTAAAGGGACACAGGCTGTATATGACCTCACTTAATGGTTTGGTCATATATTTGAGGTGAAAGCACAACCGGTGGGGGTTCACGAGTTTTGAAGTGAATTTTGACACAGGATTTTCTGTATTTTAAAGATAACACGAGAATTGTGAAGAATTGTATATGGACATTTTTTGATATTCACAGTGGATTTATGTAAAATTGCACTATATGAAATTTACACATATTCATGTATTTATAATTTATTGGCAACAGTGGAGCGTGGTAAAATTTGCTATTTAAGTAATTAGGCACATTTGTATGAATATGTGTTAGGTGCAGGCGATCTACTAATTTATATTTTGGTTTGGCGCTAAGCAAATGTTATAGCAGCTCTCAAGTCTTGGATATAATTGTGAGTATAGTTCCGCTTTAAGTTCTAGTAGGTCTTAAAGTGTATGCATAACCTCAATTTCTTCTTTTTAATTTTGGAGAAAGTAGGGAAGGGTTAAAACCACTGTTGGTGTATTTTTTTGATGTGTACTTTAAGGCAATTTCCCTATACTTCCACAGACACAACAGGAAGCTAGGGGACATTTGTTCTTAGTTAGTTATGCCCCAGTGGAGGATTTCTCTTTATGTCTTGTTGTGGGGGTGATTCTAAAATTTTGCATTACCCCTCACTTTCTTTTTAAGTGACAATGATCACAGTACAAATAGAAGGTGAATCTCTCTAATGGGAACACAGACAGCAATAAAAACTTGACAGGGGTTTTAACGTTTTACCACTTTAATCAAAAATTTAAAAAGGTTTTTGCATTGAGCTACACTTTTTAACTGAACTTTAACCACTTGACCTCCAGAGGATTTACCCCCCTTAATGACCAGGCCTCTTTTTGCTACTCGGCGCTGCACTAATTCAACTGATAATGCAATGCTGCGTCCTTTTTTTCACACAAATAGAGCTTTCTTTCTATGGTATTTGATCACCTGTGCGCTTTTTATTTTTCACGCTATAAACAAAAAAAGGACAAAAATTTTGAAGAAAAATAATATTTTTTACTTTCAGCTATATAAAAAATATATAGTAAACTCAAAGTTGGTTATAAATTTAGGCCAAAATGTATTCTGCTACATGTTTTTGGTAAAAAAAATCCCAATAAGTGTATATTGATTGCTTTGTGTGAAAGTTATAGCGTCTACTATGGTATAGATACTGCAATTTTCGCCATTTTTTGCTATACAGCACTGCACTAGTTTAACGGACAATTGCGCGGTCATGCAATACAGTACATAAATTAAATTTACATCCCTTTTTTTCCCACAAATTGAGCTTTCGTTCGGTGGTATCTGATCGCCTGTGCGGTTTTTATTTTTTGCGCTATAAAAAAAAAGGCTGACAATTTTGAGGAAAAATAAAATATTTTGGACTTTTTGCTATAAAACATGTCCAGTAAAAAAAAATGTAAAAATCAAATTTAGTCATAAATTTCTGCCAAAATGCATTCTGCGACATTTCTGCTAAAAAAAAACCCCAATACGTGTAAATTAATTGGTTTACGTGAAAGTTATAGCGTTTACAAATGGTGGGAAAGATACTGGGATTTTTAGGTTTTTTTTATACTAATAATGGCGGCGATCAGCGACCTATGGCGGCAATCAGTGACTTATGGCAGCGATCAGCGACTTATGGCGGGACTGCGGCGGACATTCTGACATTGGGGGGTACTGACTTGGGGTCACATCCCCAGTGACACCAATACAGTGATCAGTGCAAAAAAAAAAAACACTGACACTGTACTAATGGCACTGGAGAGGAAGGGGTTAAGTTTATTTTTCAGTGAACGGGTTAACTGTGTGTACTGCAGGGAAACTCTTCTGTCCCGATCAGCTTGTCTTGGAGCTGTCAGGGAACTGACAGAAAGCACAGCTACTGCAGCTGTGCTCTCTGTCAGCGTTGGTCGCTGATCGCCGGGACATAGCCGGTAACGACCGGCTGTGACCCGGCGACTGACATAAGCGGCTGTGATCGGTGGGACAGGTAGGGCGGCGGCGCGCCTCGCGCGCACCCCCTACCTGTTTACAAAACACACGTTTTAAAATGTGGTTTTGCCCAGCCGTGCCGCCCTGCCACCGTATTTATACAGTGGCTGGGCGGCATGTGGTTAACCACTTCCTGTCCGCCCTATAGCAGCAATACTGCTACAAGGCAGCACAGGTGCGCAAAATCACACACACATATATGTGATTTTGCAGTTCCTACGTGCCCTACCCACGCTGCCATTCATGACCTCGGGTATCAGTCACCGGGTCTCGGATAGTGATTACTCGCTGGCACCCGGTGCTCACAGAGTATTACTGACGGGGGAGAGAACTGTATGTAAACAATACAGTTTTCTCCCCTGTCATCTCCGACACACACCATACAAAGCAGTGTGCTTACAATGGAAAGCACACACACAGCATACACACACACAGCATACTGTGAAACAGCACACAGTTAACCCTTTGATCGCCCCACATGATAACCCCTTCTTGCCCAGTGCCATTAGTACAGTGTCAGTGCTTTTTATCAGCACTGGGGGTGTCAGTGACACCAAGTCAGTTCCCCCCAGTGTCAGAATGCCCGCCGCAGTCCAGGTATAAGTCGCTGATTGCCACCATTACTAGTTAAAAAAAAAAGTCCCAGTATATATACCACCATTTGTAAATGCTATTACTTTCATGTAAACCAATTCATTTACACGTATTGAGATTCTTTTTTTAGCAAAGACATGTAGTAGAATACATTTTGCCCTAAATTTATGATGAAATTTGATTTTTAAATTCTTTTTATCAGACATGTTTTATAGCAAAAAGTCAAAAAATATTGTTTTTTTTTTTTCATAAAAATTTTTGGTCATTTTTTTGTTTATAGTGCAAAAAATTAAAACCACACAGGCGATCAAATACCACCAAAATAAAGCTCTATTCGTGGGAACAAAAAGGAAGTAAATTTTATTTGGGTGCAGTGTTGCATGACCGCACAATTGTCAGTTAAAATAATGCAGCGCCGTAACGTAAAAAATGGCCTGGTCAGGAAGGGCGGAAAATCTTCTGGAGGGCAGGGGTTAACAGAGTTCAGCCTAGCATACTGTATATATTAGCTGCCAATTTCTCTGAATTAAGTAAATGTTTAAATGTAAAGTTTATATGGAAAGTCAGATCAGTTAATATAAATCTTTCATCACATGATTTATTTGCTTAGGTTTGAGAAACCCTACTGAGCTAAAATGGTCATTACTTCCAAATTATACAAATGCTTGTAGTAGACAGTCATTAGGATATTATGAACAGTAAACATTTTAGTTTTTAAGGAAAACTTTGAAAGGGTTTCAACTGAAACTCCAGTCTATAAAAAAAAACGGTTTCGTTAGGTCATCTTTTTACGTTGCTATCAGTAGTTGTCTGTGTCTTAGGGTTTGAACTTTTATTTGCTTTTCTCTTCAAGACAATACTGGAGCTGGGGCCTGACTAAATGAATTCGGAGTTTGCAGGATTGGTTCCTTATCTAAAATTAAAGTTTCTTGAAGCACAGGCCATGCTTTTTCTTGGAGAATGTAATCTTTGCATAATATTCAATTTCTTGGTTGACTTTCTAAGGTACTTAGATTTTTCTGTTCCAGTAGTTGAATCTATTACATTTTAAAGCCTAAGAGAATTAAAAATGATTCCTTGCAGCGGGGCTGCACGAAGACATAAAAAACAAGATCTACTTACCCAATCCTCCACATTGCTAGATTGGTCTCCACAGCATCTTCTTGCCTATGCTCCAGAGGTGTAAGGATCTGATGTCCTCAAAACATAATGCAGGGTCCATAGCCCTGCACTGGATGTGAAGATGCCAAATGGACAATCCACCACTAGACTGTGAGGGAACACCATCTGCTGGAGGAGCTGAGGATTAGGCAAGTAAAAGTGAAAATACTCTTTCCTAGACTAAACAAAAAGTTAAAGTGTTACTAAACCCAGGACCCTGCATTCACTATATCTGGTCTCCCACAGTACACACAATTTGGAAATACAATTATTTTAGTAAATATAAACTGCTAAATACCTTTTCTCATCAGCAGTTAGGGCTTGTTCACACTTGACTTCTTCCCAAACGCCCCTATAGCGTTTGACCGGCATTACACAGGCATTTTTTGGAGCATTTTTAAGGCATTTTCCAAGCGTTAAAACTGCACCAAAAACGCCTATAATGAAGTTGATGGTATTAACGCCCTGCAAACGCCTAGCAAATGCCCCGCAAACACCTGCCAGGTGTTTGAGGAGCATCACCATAGACTTGAATGGGAGGCGTGAAAGGCTTCAACTCCTCCTGACTCGACATGAGACGTCAATTTGCCACAATGCGATGCTGACGCTTCACTGTGTGCTGCCATGTGTATAATTTTTATAGGCATTTCAGGGGCGTCAAAAATGCCCCTGAAACGCCTGCTTACAAAGCTAGTGTGAACGTAGCCTTGGAGCAGTATTGTGACTTCTATCAGTGTCCATCCGTGCACTGGTCAAAGCTTGTAGGAGGAGTTTTCTTTCTGCTCTAAGAGGATGCAAAAGCTTGCAGGAGGAGTTTTCTTTCTGCTCTAAGAGGATGCAAAACCCTTGACCTGTCTGGACAGTGTTGATTGGCCCTGTGCTGATCAAATGCACTCTCCCAAGACAAAAATAAAAAACCTCTCTAGCAATACGCACCAAACTGAGCATGTGCAGAGTGTCTCCACACAATATGTCTTATCAGGAGATAAGAGGGGGACACTGGAAGAAGGGGAGGATCAGAGAAGTCAGGATCAAACAGCATTTTTACACTGTGGAGGATTAACCCCTTAGGTTCCACAGTGAGTATAACCAGCATGCTTTACTGCATATACAGACAGATTTCACTGTTGTGGGTTTAGTAACACTTTAACCTTTGCAGGCACAAGGGGATCATTTTTAAGTTCTCTGGAGTTGGCATTTATGTATCGCTTTGATATGGGACATTGTGGAGTTCAAGCATTCCCAAATATATGCTTTCAGCACATCCCACAAAGCATGTTATTTCAGGTGGAGATCTGACTAGAAACAATGTTCATTTTATCTTCAGGCTGAGCCTCTACTCTACATGTGCAAAATAATCTCCATGCAGTCTTATGGGATCCTCTGTTGGGATGGATAATAGTCAGCCTCCCTATAGGAATTATTGGAGATTCTGAAACAAGTCAGGCTTAGCCAGGAGGCTCCTGTAATGGTGGCAGTGTGGCTCCCAAAGCAGTGGATATTGGCAGGTATAAGATGGGGGGAGGTGCTGGAAGAAATGGGTCATTTAAAACATACTGTATAATAATGATCATGTTACCCCTCCTGAGCTTCAGAGATCACAGCCCCACCCCAAAAACATGCATGGCCATTTCATTTTATGTGATATCAATGTCTGTTACTGTTTACAATCCCATAGCTGGTGGTGGAGGTGGGGGGGGGGGGCAGCGAGAAATGACACCCCAGCTCCTGTCCATCATCCTGCAGTGTGAGCCCTGCATAGACACACTAGGTGGGGCCTGCTTGGCATTTGTGCCTACAGACTGCACACAAGGGTGACGAATCCACTGTTTTATTATCCGCTTCCTGAACGCTGTATAGCAAAAATACAGCTACAGGGCAGCACGGTGTGCGCAAAATTACGTATATATACGTGATTTTGCATTTCCAAGTAGGGGCAAGCGCACCCAATCATTACTGACAGTTTACTGATTACTCGACGGCGCCCGGTAATTTCCGACGATCTCTGACGGGAGGAGAACTGTTTTGTTTATTAACAGTTCTCTGTCAGCTCAAGCACACTGCTTTGGATGGCTGTGTACAGCACAGACATGCAAAGCAGTGTGATAACAATGAAGCACACTGACACGGCCCCCTAGTAAAACACTCCCTGCACACAGTTAACCCTTTGATCGCCCCTCATGTTAACTCCTTCCTGCCCAGTGGCATTAGTACAGTGTCAGTGCTTTTTTTTTAGCACTGATCACTGTATTGGTGTCACTGGGGATGTCAGTGACACCAAGTCAGTTCCCCCCACCAGTGTCAGAATGTCCGCCGCAGTCCCGCTAAAAGTCGCTGATCGCCGCCATTACTAGTAGAAAACAAAATCCCAGTATCTATACTGCCATTTGTAAATGCTATAACTTTCATGTAAACTGATCAATTTACATTTATTGGAATTTTTCTTAACAAAGAAATGTAGCAGAATAAATGTTGGCCTAAATTTATGACGAAAGTTTATTTTTTGAAATTTTTTTACTGGACATTATTATTATTATTATTATTATTATAAAGGACATATATAGTGCCGACAATTTGCTCATCGCTTTACATTAGGAGGGAGACAGTACAGTAACAATACAGTTCAATACAAGAGAGATAGGAGGGCCCTGCTCCTTGGAGCTTACAATCTAGGAGATGTTTAATATCCAAAAGTCCTGGACTGTAAGCCTCAAGAAGCAGGGCCCTCCTATCCCTCTTGTATTGAACTGTATTGTTGCTGTATTGTCTCCCATTATATTGTAAAGCGCTGAGCAAACTGTTGGCGCTATATAAATCCTGTATAATAATAATAATAATAATAGCAAAAAGTCATAAATATAGTTTTTTCTCTCAAAATTGTTGGTCTTTTTTTTTTTGCTTATAGCGCAAAAAATAAAAAACACATAGTTGTTCAAATACCACCGAAAGAAAGCTCAATTTGTGGGGAAAAAAAGGAAGTAAATTTCATTTGGGTGCAGCGTTGCATGACCGCGCAATTGTCAGTTAAACTAACGCAGCGCCTTAATGCAAAAAATGGTCTGGTCAGGAAGGGGGGGGTAAATCCTAAGGAGGGCAAGTGGTTAAAGCCAGACCCCCAGAGACAAGAAGGACTAGTACATAATTATACATTATACACTGTGATATCAGCAGCTAACATTAGAGGGCAGCAGATTCCTACAAAGACAATATACTCAATCATTTTTCACTGTGAACCACTGCACTCTACAGGTGACCCTGGCCCCAAGATGTCCCACTTTATCAGGTTCCAAGAGTTTGTTACACTCAGGGGCGGACTGACCATTTGGAAACTCGGGCACTGCCCGAGGGCCCGGGGTCAGTAGGGGGCCCCATGAGATGCCCCTGGAACCTTTTTCATAGGCTTTTTTGAGTTTGGGCAAGGACACAGGGGCCCCATGATCCCCTATTGCCCAGGGGCCCCATGAGTTGTCAGTCCGCCCCTGGTTACACTCTATGCAACAGCAAGCAGGAGCCATGAGGCAGATTCTTAATAAATTGGATTTCCTCCTCTGCTGGTAGATAGTATCACTGCAACATGTTAAAACATACTTCTGACCTCTTTTGACTTCACCTATTTTTAACCACTTCTGCTCCGGAAGATTTTACCCTCTTCATGACCGCTATGCTATGCTATTGGGCACTGCGCTATCATGCCACACTGTAACCACATGAAATTTACCCACAATATTGATAATAATATAATAATATGAAAAATCCACAATATTTTCTAATTTCTGGTATAAACCATATCCAATGAAAAAAATTAAAAAAGAAACAAATTTTAAATTTAGGCCAAAATGTATTCTGCTACATGTCTACAGTAATAAAAAATCCCAATAAGTGTATATTAATTGTTTTGTGCAAAAGAAATAGAGTCTGCAAATGATAGTATGTATACTGGAACTTTTATTTGTTTATTTATACT